GAATACCAATCTATAGACACCATGTATACAAGAGTGAATTCAAATCTACACACCAAACATACACCAATTCTCCCGCATAAAGATTTCTTTCTTGTTTTTTTAAATAAAATTCCATATTTTTTTTTGTTTTTGTTATTATTTTCTCATTTTTTTTTCTATTCTGCTCATTGAAAATATGTTTTCAACATCACGTTCAATTTTCATTGTTTTTCATTCAATATTTTCTCTTCATTTTCGTTTTTTGTTTTTCTTTTGATTTTTTATTTTCACCATTTTTAGCAAAAATTACAATTTTTACCTTACAAAAAGAGAGAAAAAAAAATTAAATTTTTTCCCTTTACAATTTTCTCTTCATTCTTAATATTATTTTTATTACTTTTATTATTCCCGTTATTATTGTTATTATTATGATTATTATTATTATTTCAATTTTTATTTCATCTTTATTTTCTCAATCATTTACCGTTATATACCTTAGGTAATCGTATTTTATTTCAATGTACAAATTTCAACCTGTACAAAATTAAAAATATTTGAAATTAAAACGAAATCGAAAATTGAGATTCCAATTGTAATGTTGTAATTCAATAAAGAGTTGTATTTAAGACGTTCAAATAGCAAAGGTGTTAATGTTTGTAATTTGAAACCTAAGAGAGAAACAGCTGATGAAAAGAAATGGCGTATTAAACCCAATGTTTTCTCGATATCGTTTGTCAATTACTTAATTACTCTCATGTTCTTGTAAAAGGTGTACTCAAAAAGCACACTTAAATACTGAATCAAATTTGAATAAAGAAAATTCAAGACGAACTAAAAATTCGTAGAATTAATCAAATATAAATTGCCTTGAGATTAGAAAGTAGTTGAAATTTATAATATCGAGAATCAATTTATAAAATATAACTTCAATTATTTAATTAATGAATTGCTTCTATTAACTTATTCGAATTTGTTTTATAAATAAAAAATTTGCTATTAGTACTTTTGTAATTGCATATTATTAGGCTGCGTTTGAAATATAATTCACACAATATATTGTTATTTTGAGATATCCTGAGCTTTATTGCAATTTTGTTTTGTATAATTTTTATTAGATACTAGACTTGGCCCTTTTGTAATACTCCCGTAAGTAGTTAAATACCTCAAAGTTAATCGAACAAACTCTGAATATTTCCATATTCTCATTTTCCCTTTAGTTTTACTCCATAATATCTTTAGGGATTTTTTTTTCTCTTTTTGCTGATTCGCAAACTACACAATTTTATTTTGTTTTTCTATTTGTTCCTCGTTTTGCTTTTATACAATTTTTTTTTTTTTTACATTTTATTTGCTGAAAATTTCTATTCAATGTTCAATATTATGATGACTGCCATATAGAAGAAAAAAAAAACCAAAATGAAAACAAAGAAAAAAATTCAATTCAAAGCAATTTCTTTTTTCCATCAAAAAGTTTCAATTCTTTATTGCGGCTCCGATTTCCTAACAAAATGGTAATGACATATTGTGTATGTTATTCCACACACATATACAAAGTTCAATATGGATAGAAGAAAGCAAAAACAAGCATAAGACAAAAAAATTCAGAAAATTATTGAAACGGATGAGAAAAATGAAATCATCTCAAATGATGCACAATGAAATCTATTTACTTTTTTTTTCTAGTTTTCTTCTTTACTTTTTCCCATCATCAAAACAATAAAAATTCAAAGCACAAGGAAAAAAAAATACTTATATCCTTTGAATCTTTCAAAATTCATTCACTCGCTCTTGTATATTAATATTACTAGTCTATTTTTTTTTTTTCTATTGTATGCTCAATTCTTTATGAAATTGTAATGATATCGATAATGTTAAAATAACTATAGAGCAAATTGTAAAAAAAACAAAAAATGAAAATGAGGAAATAAGAAATGGGGTTGGGTACACCCTGTTGTTTTAGTTCGCTGATGCTGAATAAACTAACAAATAACAGAAGAAAATAAGAAATGGCGGTAACACTAAACATAATATTCTAGTGAATTTTTTTTTCTTACAATTTGTTTTTTATATTTTTATATTATATCCTTCACCGTTATTACTTTTCAATTGTTATTTTATCGTATGATCTATAATCAGGAGAATAGAATTGTTCAAATATTTTACTTGTTCTTCTCTTTTTTTTTTGCAAATTTTAACATGGTATCTTTTCTTCATAATTCATGTGAGAAGAAAAATTTTGACTTCACTATATTGAAAGTCACGTAAGAATCAAAATTACCATATGTTGAAAATTTTTAAAGAAAATTTATATAAGGTGAATAAATTTTCGAAAAAATAAAATTTGAATATTTTGGATCAATTCCGGAGTAGTTCAATAATAATAGCTTTAATGAACCCTATTAAGAATAATTGTAATTTTAATGAGAAATTTTTTGTACATGTCTTTTTGTTAATTTCTAATGTTCGATATAATTTCTATTGTAAGTGAATCTTTATGGAGCGGAATACGAGGCACATCTATATTAAAAAAAATTTTCCTAAATAATTTTTTTGATTTTCTTTTTTGGAGCTTTGGTATATGAAAGGGACCAAAGAATAAAATGCAATAAATTATTTATATTAACGGGTTTTCAATTGACAGGTGCCCAAAATTCGGCTATATAATAGTAGTATTACTATAAACACTCTACCTTATCAATAAATTTTTTGAAAGGGGAACAGGAAACAGGAAATCGTTTTGTTGAAAACACAGCAATAATTGAGTCCTACTCGGAGGCCTTCATTTTGGCAATTCCTCTCAAGCTTTATACTGGATCCCTTCTTATATAAAAATACAATAAATACAACCCACCTAATGAAAATTACTACTTTCTTCCTGCAACGTTACTGAATATTTTAAATTTAACTCTTCACTATTTATGAAATTGAATGTCACGAAACCATCTAGAATTTTGTATATCGTAATATCATTTAAATTATACTACTTGTCATTTACTTATTACAAATTGCTTATGATAAAATAACAAAAATATAACATTGAATGCTCAATTTAATTTTAAATTCTTTTGAATATACCAACATTAGTATCGTAAAAACTTTACCAAATTAAAAGTATATAAAAATGTTTTTTAACAAAAATACATTGTGCTGTTGAAAACCACCAATTAGAAATTTCAAAATACAACAATGTTATACAATTGAATCCTTAAAACAATTAATGTATTTGTTACAAATAGAATTCCATGTCTCTACTTCAATTAATTAAACCACTAATTTCAATACATACATACTTACAAATTAAAAAAAAATAACATTGAATAAAATTAAATTAACTTGAATGTTAGTGGTTAAATACATTCAATGTTATACACAACATGTATGTATGTATATGAATACAGTTGAGTAAGGTAAATTTTTTTAAAATACGCAAATAATGTTCGAAAACATGTGCATGTATGTGAGGGAATTGTAATTGTAGTTGATAAAAAAAATGAATTCAAATTGAAGAATTTCAACTTGTATAAAATACTTTAATTCCAAAATTCTATGGAAATTATTGAACTATTCTAGTTAATTTAATTAAAAGTAAATTATTTGCTACATAGAATATTGCATGTATTATTTTAAATTCCTACTTAATTAACCAAAAAACCAAAACCAATAAATTGTTTCATTTAAAGTATCGTCAAAAATTACAAGTTTTTCAATGAAAATTAATTCAAAATTTTATTTAAATTACTGAACAATGTTAAATAAAATAAAACCAAACTCATTGTTAAAATTTTAAAGGAATCTGAGACTATTTCACAAATCAGGTTATTATAAACTTGCCTTACCATTTGTAGCCCATAGTGGATCTGAGATAATAATAGACATAATTGTATGTTTTTTATCAGTGCCGAATTGTGAATCCGTCCGTATGTACAGCATGTCCGTCCTGCCGTTCACCGAAACTCATCAAATTTTCACAAATGATTTATAATAGTAAATGTCGGAACCTTATTTAAATTAGATGTGATGGAGACAGTGGTTCGAATAGCTGCCTTACAAAACTATCTCAGAGCCATATTGGTTATATCTCAGAAACATATTGAAGCAAATATCGAAATTTCGCAAAAGCAAATATTATTATTGGGGCGATTATGTGAAATGAAAATCGTTGAAATTTCTTGACCATGAAGCTATTTGATCATATTTTACAAAGTATACTTAAAGCACAGTCCTGAAATTTTGTGTAAACAATTCCGGTAAAAGCTGTTGAAATATATCATGAACGCTCTCATAAAACTTCAAAAACTATTTGGCATTATCTCAGAAATTATATAGAAGCTACAGTGTTGAGATTTCGCTCATGCAAATATTTTATTACGGTTGTTATATTTTATAAAACTAGTTGATTTTTTTTTTTAATTGGTGTGAAAAGAAAACTTCCTTTTATTCGGAATAAAATACTTTTATTTTTCGCTAATATATTTCGTGCGCTACATACGCTGATTTTCTCAAAGCTGATTTTCTTCTAATTAAGACAACAAACAATAAAAATTGAAATCTATTAAAATTAGGAATATTATACCTGACTTAATATAATCTACCTGACTTAATCTAGAATTTGATTATTTATTTTTTTTTTATTTTTTTTTGTTATTATTTACAAACTAAATTTATACCTGTTTTAAACCTTAAAACTGGTCAAATAATTAATTTACAGAGCCAAGTAGCCGCGTTACCTTCGTCCTTGTTTAGTAATCAGTCCTTGTTTGATTTGTATATCTGCATGCTTTCATGAACTTCTCTCCTGTGTTTTCCTTTTACCTCTTTTAATACCTTTAAGTTATCTTCCGTTATTGTGTGATCCGTTTCATAAATGTGTTTTGCAACCACTGAATCGAAAATCCGGTTAAATCCTACTCTCCTTGCACGTTTTATTTCACTTAAATGTTCCTTAAGTCTTGTTGTAACGGGTCTCTTCGTTTGTCCTATGTAAAATTTATCGCAATTATTACAATTGATTTTGTACACACCGCATCTTTCATGTATCTTCAATTTATCCTTAGCCGAATTTAACAAACTCCCAAGTTGATATTTACTATTGGTTTCCGATGTCCGAATATTGTGTTTCCTTAGTTGTTTATTTATCAAGTTTGTACAGTGATGATCATAACTTAAAGATTCCCATGTTGTTCTTTGTTCTTCCAATATCCTGTTCTGTTTAAACAATGTGCTCATATTCTCCTGCTCAATTTTTCGTTTTTTCTTCCTAATGAGTTTGTTAATACGTTCAGTAGAATAACCGTTCTTCACAGCCGTGTCCAATATGAAGTTTACTTCTGATCTATAGTCGTGTCTGTCCATCGGTGTGGTTAGCATTCTATGGATCATAGAGTTGAACGCCGCCATTTTATGTTTCGTTGAATGGTACGAGTCCTTTGGAATGCATCTTTGTGTTGTTGTTTTCTTCCTATATATCTTGAATCCAATTTTTTCAGATATTCTTTTCACCAATATGTCCAAAAAAGGTAACACTCCATTTTCCTCAATTTCGAATGTAAATTCGATGTTTCTATGTAATTTGTTGATGCATCTGTTTATATTCTCCAGTTCTTCCTTGTCCACTATCGCGAAGACGTCATCAACATACCGCATCCATACTCTAGGCATTAGAGAATCCTCCTCCATTCTTTTTTCCAATTTGGACATAAATAATTCTGCGATAAATGGTGAAAGTGGATTGCCCATCGATACTTCCGATGTTGTTCTGTACATCTCGTTTCTGAATTCGAAGTAATTCTCCTCCATGCAAAGTCTTGCTAATTTGTGGTATTCTTTTACTTTGTTGTTCCAATTTTCTGTTTCTGTTTCTCCTTCTTGTGTTGATAACCATACTTTCAAATATTCAAGAGCTTCGTTAACTGGAACACTGGGAAAGAGCGCTTTGACATCGAACGATACCATTAATTCATCAGGACCAATCTTTAAGCCTTTCGTTTTTTCTATAAATTCCTCTCTATTCTTGATAGAACAGGAACGGAAATCCATTTCCCCAAATCTTTTCACGAGCCACTTCGCAATTTTGTATGTTGGGGCGCCGTTAGCGGAAATGATCTCCCTGAACTGCTCACCTTCCTTGTGAATCTTTGGTAGACACACCAGTTTCGGAACTGATGGATTCGGCATCGTCAAGTCGTTAATGTTGAAGTCCAGAAACTTACACTCCTTTAAAGCTTTCTTAACCTTCATTGCTGATTCCTTTAAAGGGTTGGTCCTAATTTTTCTAAAATTTTCGTTATTAAGTTTATCTAAGATTTTTTCATCGTAATCGTCCTTGTTCATAATAACGATAGTGTTTCCCTTGTCTGCTTTTATGTAATACACTGGTTTTTCATTTAAACTTTTCACCATTGCATGTTCACTTTTGGTTTTGTTATCTAGGTTGCTGTTGGTGTTGTTGCTTCTTCTTAGTATTTTGTATACTTCTTTCCTAATGTTCTCCTTGGCTCCATGATCCGCTCCTCTTATGGCTGTCTCCACGTCTGCTATGATGTCTTCCTTATGAGTTCGCTTGGGTGTGATTGCATATTTTAGTCCTTTGTTGAGAAGGTCCATTTCCTTCGTGCTAAACGTGTAAGACGATTTATTAACTACTAAGTTCTCGATGGGATGTGTTTCAATGCTCATCGGTTTAGCAGGTTGTTGCGTATTCCTTAAAGTTCCCAGACGTCTCAATTTATTGTTTAAAATCATTCTTTTTCTTATTTTCCTGCATTTCTCGCCGGCCTTTATTTTCATAAGTAGTCTATTAAAGTCATCATCTGAAGCTCCCATTTCTTTGTAAATCCAGGACAACTTCAAATGCGTAGTATAGGAAAGCAAGTTCTTATGTGACAATTCTGCGTATTTAGAATTAATACTTCCTTGTATAAGTTTGCGTTCCGCTTTTTCTTGAACCTTGTCAGCCATCGGTAAGTATGGATTCATTTTCAAACGATGGCTCCCCGGGGTGACTCCTTTCCTTAAACATAATTTTAAAAATCTTATATCCTCATTTAAACTAATAATTTGCTGTCTTAATTTCAAAAAACCGTTTATCAATCTCTTTTGGCTGGTAACCTCCATATTCAAAAAAATTTTTTTTTTTCAATGGTTGATAATTTTTCCGAAATATAATTTTTTTTTTAATTGGTGTGAAAAGAAAACTTCCTTTTATTCGGAATAAAATACTTTTATTTTTTGCTAATATATTGCATGGAGGAGAATTACTTCGAATTCAGAAACGAGATGTACAGAACAACATCGGGAGTATCGATGGGCAATCCACTTTCACCATTTATCGCAGAATTATTTATGTCCAAATTGGAAAAAAGAATGGAGGAGGATTCTCTAATGCCTAGAGTATGGATGCGGTATGTTGATGACGTCTTCGCGATAGTGGACAAGGAAGAACTGGAGAATATAAACAGATGCATCAACAAATTACATAGAAACATCGAATTTACATTCGAAATTGAGGAAAATGGAGTGTTACCTTTTTTGGACATATTGGTGAAAAGAATATCTGAAAAAATTGGATTCAAGATATATAGGAAGAAAACAACAACACAAAGATGCATTCCAAAGGACTCGTACCATTCAACGAAACATAAAATGGCGGCGTTCAACTCTATGATCCATAGAATGCTAACCACACCGATGGACAGACACGACTATAGATCAGAAGTAAACTTCATATTGGACACGGCTGTGAAGAACGGTTATTCTACTGAACGTATTAACAAACTCATTAGGAAGAAAAAACGAAAAATTGAGCAGGAGAATATGAGCACATTGTTTAAACAGAACAGGATATTGGAAGAACAAAGAACAACATGGGAATCTTTAAGTTATGATCATCACTGTACAAACTTGATAAATAAACAACTAAGGAAACACAATATTCGGACATCGGAAACCAATAGTAAATATCAACTTGGGAGTTTGTTAAATTCGGCTAAGGATAAATTGAAGATACATGAAAGATGCGGTGTGTACAAAATCAATTGTAATAATTGCGATAAATTTTACATAGGACAAACGAAGAGACCCGTTACAACAAGACTTAAGGAACATTTAAGTGAAATAAAACGTGCAAGGAGAGTAGGATTTAACCGGATTTTCGATTCAGTGGTTGCAAAACACATTTATGAAACGGATCACACAATAATGGAAGATAACTTAAAGGTATTAAAAGAGGTAAAACGAAAACACAGGAGAGAAGTTCATGAAAGCATGCAGATATACAAATCAAACAAGGACTGATTACTAAACACGGACGAAGGTAACGCGGCTACTTGGCTCTGTAAATTAATTATTTGACCAGTTTTAAGGTTAAAAACAGGTATAAATTTAGTTTGTAAATAATAACAAAAAAAAATAAATAATCAAATTCTAGATTAAGTCAGGTAGATTATATTAAGTCAGGTATAATATTCCTAATTTTAATAGATTTCAATTTTTATAAAATTGAAATCTATTAAAATTAAACTTAAAAGACTAAGTTCCATTTAATATGAAGGTTTACATGCAATAACAAAAAGCGTATTGCACATATAGTTTATTACATTATATGGTTATAAACTACATGATTTTATGCAATGAGATACAAAATATCTAAATGATAGTACACCATTTACAAAACACCCTTATACATACACATTAAAGTTCATACCATATATAATCAAATTAAATAGAAAGAAATTATTTTTAATCCAACATCTGGTCTTTCAAGTAATCTTCTACATGTACCTATAACCAAATGAAAAGTAGAAGCAAGTTAAAAATAATTTCTGGAAAAAAATCCCTTGGTACCTAAATAATTTTACCATAAATGATATAGACGTCACGTTTCAACATTTAGGTGGTGTCCTATTTGAAAACGCATTTAAATATATTATACACGCTATACATATTATGTACATATATACTATAAGATCACATGTTATAAGCCATAATAGAAGCGCATACTATTAAATACACATACTAAGAATGTTAATATGAAAAATCATGTACGTGCTAAGACTATTGATATTAAGCTAATTACTAGACGGTATTAAGGAAAATTTAGAAAACATATTACAGTCACACATGTGATAAAAAAAAAATAGAGAAAAAAAAGTCTAATTCTGTGTTTAACATTCATTAGTCGAGGTTCTTATTTCGATGATTTTAGATTTGATAAATTAAAGTAAAGGAATAAAGCTAAATTTTCGGAATGGTGATAAATTTTTGAAAATTGTACATTGTGCATCACAGTTTTAACCCTGTCATCAGTGCTGTTCAAGTTTTAGTTTCTTATTCATTTATTTTGACATGAATTCGTTTTAAATTACTAACATTAGGCACTATTTAAGAATACAGGAAAAGGAAAGTTATGATTTATATATGCAACTGCAATGTAAGTTAAAAATTAAACAACCAAAACCAAATGTCGTACAACTGCTGTACGGCGAATTAATAGAAATTAATAGAATAAATTAAACAAAATCAATACTACTGTATAGTCTGACTTTAAGCACCCTCCTACTTATGTTTGTATAAAAAGCAGCCGAATTAGGTTAATGCTTCCCATAGTCCGTACTACTGACTGGAACATTGAAAAGTTCGACCGATTTCAGTTGAAACTGCGAAAATTAAGTTACTGAGATTCTCCCTGTAATAAATTCGACTCAATAAAACCGAAACAATCACGTTAGCCACAACAAGTTGATGAATGAAAGCTATATCAGAAACCATCGTACGACAACGAACAGATCTTAAGTCCAAAAGTTGAAGCCTACTTTCATAAGGGGGCAACCTAAATCAATCCGAAAAATCCACACCAAGAAAAGAAAGGCGAAAAAAATGCCTCTGCACAGCCTCACTACGATCTATATCATCATATAATGAAAAGGAGATCAGACTTGATATGCGTACTCTTAAGTAGGCCTCATGAAAGCAACATAAAAATGTTTCGCAATAAAGCGACCATTTAATTCCCTACCCCACCAAAACCTAGAGTAAAATTCGCCTTATTAATCACCTAATTGAGATGGGCCTTAAAATCGAACCTACAATCAAATGTAACATCTAAATCTGCCCATTGTGCCTGTAAGCAAACTTTACTTGGGCAGAATTCCGAATCCTAGAAAAATTCAATACGAGACACTTACCTATATTAAACTCCCAACCAAATTTATTTTCTTAATCATCAAGCAATAGCCAACCTTTCAACTGTTGATCGTTCAAATTTTACTGAAATTAAATAATAAAAATCTTAATTTTACTACCATTTTGTCATTTAAATTCAAATGTCCTTTAACATTGCACAGTTATCTTGAATATAGAAGTAAAAAACTTACATTTCCTATATTAACCAAAGCTCTTTGATATTGAAGGCTTTTTCACTTTGGTTGTTTTTTTTTTTATCCTTTTATATTCCAATTATTTTCTTAAAATTTCTTTTTACAATTCTTAAGCAAAGGAGACGATTTTCCTTTTTTTTACTTTGAGCTTAAAAAAAAATTGTATTAAGCCGTACAAATTTAATTTTTTTGCTTTTTCACCTTAAATCTCTCATTATTCCTTCTTATTCTCATTATATTAAAATTAAAATAGTTTTTTCTATAATTTATTTAATTTCCTTTTTGGTACCAAATTAAAAAGTGAACTCTTTATTCAAAAAAGGAAAATGGGTAACTTTTTAAAAGTAAATTAAATCAAAAACACTTCAAAAATGTTAAGTACACGCCTTGGAAAATCCCAAATACATTTAAATTTTAAAATAAAGAAAAATTATCCTTTCCCCAACAGAATTTTCAAAAAGAAGATTATTTTAGACTTTTCCATTAATAAAATATAAAGCATCCTACAACACCTATTAAGAGTATAGCTCTAACAAATTTAATAAAAATTTTTAAGATCACGATTAAATTTAGAATTCATTTATAAATTCTAATTCTACTTTTGGCATCTTATTTTTCTATATGCATTTATATACGAAAATATCCAATTTTATCAAACCAATCAACCAAAATTTATCAAAATGGAATTTCGCTGTCTATGTCTTAGACTTTAAATCACTTTTATCCCTTATGTCCAACATTTCATAAGAACTCGAGCCAAAAACCTCTGTTTATTTACTCTATTGAATTTTACTCTTTCCATCACAGTCGAACGCACGAATTGAGTTTTCTCTTCCTTAATTTCAATATCTACACCGCTGAGTGTTTAGTGTGTCAATTCTGCAAAAGTACAAGGATTGATAAGTGATAAAACATAATAGATTTTTAAAGTTCAAATCCTAACGCAACATAATTGTGAAGCAAATCAATATTATGAGAAAACCGGCAATCTGTTCTTATCATCCTTTTCTACTCAAGTGACGATTGTTTAATTCAATCAAAAGAGAACATTATGTCGTCTATATTTGAGCGCGGTTCTGTAAAGAATAGAATTATGAGACCAAAACTAGTTTTATCAACATTTCTCCGGAAAAGAAAAATAATGCCTTTTAGGCAATTTTTGCCCTTGCTCTACTTGTTCATTGTAATTACAATGAACGCATAATGTATTTTACAAGTATTTTCTTAAAAAATGTTGGAATTGGCAACATAAATACTTTATTCCTTTTCAAATTAATTAGGGATAATTTTAGAATTTATTAAACTTAATTATGACAAGAATTAAGAGAACAAAAACACGGAAAACATTTAAGTTAATCGTTTCCCATTTAATTCATTGCATTCCTTCTCATCCTTACAATTCAAAAATTTCATATTGTGTAAAATTTTCAATAAATTATCTTAAATAAAATGTTTTATTGCCTTGTTTCACTTTTTCATCCAACTCGTCCTCTACTAATCAAAAAATGACGAAATTCTCTTCAATATTTTAAACAAAAATTTTTTTTTTAAATTTAATATCTTTTCATTTCCTTGTACCTTTCTTATTGCATTCTTCATTAT